CACACACACACACACACACACACACACACACACACACACACACACACCATAACAATACTTGAAGCTATAAGAATATGATTAGATAATATGTACATAAGCCTTTTAAAAACCGTAAGGCTGAATTTAAACATTGTTTGTTTTTGTTTCTGTTAACAATGTCAAGGGTCATGTAATTTAATGAAGAAGTTACTCTAAATGTGTAGTTGAATGTCAGCCTAGTTTGCTGCAAACTAAAAAGGCTGGAAGAAGTATATTGAGTCAAATACAAGGAGAGGGTCATTGCCACCACAGCAGCCAAGGGTCCAGGGGTAGACGACAGAAAACAGGACCGAAGTGACCTGGGGACGGGTCTGTAGGGCCTGGCTGGGGTGGAACCTGAGGCAACTTTGTGGTGTTATGGGGATGTCTAGAACCTTGATTGGCCATGTGTATTTGTTAAAACCCACCAAGTAGACTCTTGAAAAGTGTGCATCTTATTGTATAAAATCCTGTTTTGATAAATTGATTTTAAATGTTAAAAAATGTCAGAGAGTGGAATGATACCCACTTCTCATAGATCCAACCATAGATCCTGACATGGGCAGGAGACTGGCCTATTAAAATTCACGGATTCGGGGCTGGCGAGATGACTCCAAGGCTAAGAGCAATTAGTGCTCTTTCAAAGCACCTAAATCAGGTTCCCAGCACCCAGTCAAGTGGCTCCCAGGGCATCTGACACCTTCCAGCCTCCAAAGGCATTCCCTAGCAGTGGAATACATTTACACATATTCATAAATACAAAAAATAGCCGGGCAGTGGTGGCGCACGCCTTTAATCCCAGCACTCGGGAGGCAGAGAGCCAGGTGGATCTCTGTGAGTTCGAGGCCAGCCTGGGCTACCAAGTAAGTTCTAGGAAAGGCGCAAAGCTACACAGAGAAACCCTGTCTCGAAAAACCAAATACATATATATCAAAATGCATTTTGATAGACTTTTTAGGTAATTCTCAACAAGAAGCTTACCAGCCTATTTTTACATACACTTGGGAAGAGAAAAACGTGTGTTTGAGTTCCCTTAATTCCTTGATTTCTAAATAATGGCACCAAAGACATGGGGGTGAGGTAGAAAGGTGAGAGAGAGAAAATTTTGAAAGAATTATGAATAAAATTCTTACCAGTTTTTACTTTCAACTGTTCATAGTCAAAAATGGCGACCCCTGTAGTCTCACTGCCAGTTCCTGAGGTAGTTGGAACTTGAACAAAACAATATTAATATTAGATTAATACTTAATTCCACCTCAGAAATAACAAGCGAAGACAGAAAAGGAAGCGTTGCTGATCTCATTGTTTGTCTGACATCCGTATAACATATATGCTAAGAAGTCATGTGATGTCCATGCTTGCTTTAATACAAATGTGTGTTCTCATCAGCATGTTATATCTGTGGCTACATTAGCATGCATATATGCACTCTGTATCTGTGCATGCATATATATGTTTAACATATATTATGATGTTTGAGTGTACATGCATGCTTAAAATCTATATCATATCTATCTGTATTAACATGTGGTCCATTTAACATTTACATGGGTTCTACATCTGTTAACATAATATAACATGGCTTCACTAACATATATATATGGTTAACATGCATGTGTGTTTAATATGCATAATATCTGTATATGTACAAATGTGTTTTGTGAATTTATATTGAACATATAATAAAGTGATATACATGTATGGTTAACATGCATGCTGTCTGTATCTGTGCAAACAGGTTTATACATATGTTATCTATGTCTGCACTTAACATGAAACTGTGTTAAACATATGATCTCTGTTGCAACATGCATGTATGATATCTATGTCAGTATTAACATGTGTATGTTAATCATACCTGTGTGGGAAATCAGTGCCATACTAACAGCGAGGAGCTCTGGGAAGCTTGGTTTTCTAGAGCCAGAGACTGAGCTGCCCAGCACCTCCGGCAGGAGCGCTCACACATCCTGTCTCTAAAAGACATCTTTATTCGCTCTTGGCAACAGGCACAGGGCCGAGCTGCTTTGCTGGGTCCTGTGGTTTTGTAGCTAGTCAGGTTTCTGAACTTTACTAATCACCTCTCTGTGTGACGCGGACACGGTTTCCCCAGTGCCTTCCATCCGCCAGACTCCAATTACGCTGCTCCCTGCTGATTCCTCATTCAGGTCACAGCAGCTCATCTGCCCTCGACCCCCTCAAGTCCCTGCTGTGGCTGTTTACCCTGGGCAGAAGGGAGAGCAGGGAGGAAACCTAACTGTTCCCCTGTTCCCGGTTACTGTTTTAACAGCAGAACTTCCGTGAGCAGTGCTCTAACGGCTGTAGAAAAGAGAGCGAAGAAAAGTCTAGAACATCCCAAGGCCCCCCTGTGGAACACTCAAGATACTTTTGATATGGATTTGTGCACTGGGCACATGCGCATGCTGGCCACATGTCCCAAGGAAGATACAAAGCTCCAGGTCAGCTGGAGAGCCATCATGTGGAAGAAAGGCTAGAGCCGTTGAGAGAAAACACCAATTGTTCTCCCCAAGCTCCTCGGCGTCTGGGAGAGGAGACCAAGCAGATGGGTCTGGGGACCAGGCTGCCAACTGAGGGACCTACCAAGTGTCACCCAGGGTCCCTCCTCCTCCACGCAGCGACACCACGGCCTGACACTGTAAGCCTCCTCCCACTGACCCAAATCGTCTGTGTGCAATGACGGAGGCCAGAGTTTTCAATAAGTGAGCTGCTGCCTGCTTGGCTCTCTAGTTAATGCATTGGTTTGAAATGAACAAAGCAGAGGTTCTGGAAATGCAGACTTTGAAAGGATCAGCTGGCAGAGCAGCACAGTACCCAAGGCCGCCGCCGCCACCTTCTTTTTTTTCCAGTTGTAAAGTGAAGCAAGTGAGCGGAGAGCTTACCTGCAATCAGAGGTTTCAGAGGCACAGTCACCGGCTTCCCCTTCCCAATGGGGGCGTTGACATAATCCAGGAACTCAGAGTCGGGGCTGGACGCGTACAGATTGGCAGCTTTACATGTGTCCATGGTGGAGCCCCCACCCACAGCCACATAGGCGTCAAAGGCTCCCCTTTTGGCAAATTCAATCGCATCCATGAAGCTTAGAGAATAGAAAACAAAAGAACATTATGCTATATTAAAAAAAATATACTGTCATGCTGTTAAGTAAGGCCTGGGACAAATTTTCAATGCAGCCATTTTTTTTTTGTTTTGTTTTGTTTTTCGAGACAGGGTTTCTCTGTGTAGCTTTGCGCCTTTCATGGATCTTGCTCTGTAGACCAGGCTGGCCTCGAACTCACAGAGATCCACCTGCCTCTGCCTTCTGAGTGCTGGGATTAAAGGCGTGCGCCACCACCTCCCAGCCAATGCAGCCATTTTTGTTGGCTTCTGCTTAAGTAACTCAAGCACACTAAGACCTTACCTTCTGTCTGTGGGCTCCACCCTCACGTCATCATAAACCTGAAAGCTGATGCCATTCTTCACTAGGGAATCCATAACTATTTGTACAGGAGGGAGCTGGGAGAGGTTCTTGTCTGTCATCAAGCAAACATTCTTAGCTCCCATATTCTGAAGATCCTATAATAAAAATGAACTCAGTGTTATTGACTACAAACACCACTGGGCTAGATACTTGGGCAAGTTTAATGCGATCTTTAAGAAGAACAAAGGATTCGACTGTTGTCCATTAACGCTGGTGTTTACAAGACACAATGCTTGGAGGCTGCAGACGCCTCCAATACTTGCCATGCCCACTTCCTTCGTAACCCCTGCTCCATATCTAATGTTTGAAACAGCCATCTGAAACGAGAGAAAGATTCAGGTGGATTAGAGCTGGACAGTGTATCTCTGAAAACCAGAGGTGATGCCTCGATGTTCAGAGAATCAATTGTATGCTCTGCAGCACCGAACTCTGACTCCCCAGCCTCCTGGCTTCCCGCTTCTTTGAGCAAACCGTGGCTCCAGATGTGCTGAAAGTGTACATTTGTCTTTCCCCAATACCCAACAAATTCCCATTGTTTCTTCAGCTGTCAACATCTGTCCTCCTGAACCCCCACATCGAAATTAACTCTCAAATTTCTTACTTTCCAATTTAACTGTCTGTTCTGTAGCTTTTACCCCTTTATTTATCCAGCCCTCGTGTGCATCTGTACACATCCATGTAGCCTCCCACCCACCACCACCACTGAGAGGTGCTCTGTTGAAGGCCCTCCTGCTGGACACCAATGAAACCGGAGAGGCACGAGCTTCTGAGTTTACACACAAAAGCAGAGCCTTCACACTAAGGCACACAGGCCACTTTCCAATTCCAGAATGAAACAAAACAGCCATGGTTTGCTTGATTCGTGTTATAAAACTCTTTAAAATGGGGGTTTGAACAATCCAGGAGGGTCACCTGGATCTCTACCACTCTCAAATGATCTAAAAACCACCACACATTTCTCAAGTCTCAGCAATCATGAGGGGCTGAGTGAGGCTGGGCCTTCAGAAGTGGCTTGGGCTGTCAGAGGGCCCCGAGTGAACTAATTTATCACTCTAAACTAGGGGGCCAGGGAGTTAAGCAAACAATTAAAGCAATTATGTAATTAGCATGGCACTTTACTCTTCTTCCAAAAGATGACTTCTTTTGTTAAGTAAGGCCCGGGGCAAATTTTCAGTGACTCGATATACAGCACACAGAATTCAGTCTGTAGAACTGGGAGTCTGTCATATTTTAATAGCTATATAAAAGACAGTGTTTTGAACATTCTTCCTGTTTCCAGACTACATTCCTCCATTGTGCACACTACTGCCCAGTGCCTGATCGGAATGAGGCTGCAGAATGCCAGTTAACAACAGATTTCAAACGAACACTGACGCATCAGCAAATGCTGTGCGCCACCCATAAAAGAAAGAATGAGTCGATGAAATCTACCTCAAATGCATATTCTGTTGTTTTTCCAGAAGGTGAGATTCCAGGGGCTGGAAGTGCAGAGAATAACATCAGAGCACGCACCAAAAAATAAGCCAAATAATAGTGTTTTTTGATAATAAAATCCAGCAGTAAACATAAACATCTTCCTAAAACCTTACCTCAAAGCACACCTTTTTGGCATTTCATGGTTGTACATAAAATATAGATCAATATTTACAAAACAGTACTGAAAACTGATTTCTAAAATTTCTGTATAAAGCTAGTTGTTATTTGGGGGCAATAAGAGGCCATCAATAAATTTAATATTTAAAAAAGTTATTGTTGTGTGTGCATGATGCCTGTGTGTATGGCAGCGGTGTGTACCACAGCAAGCATGTGGAGGTCAGAGGGCGATTTTGTGGAGTTGATCCACGTGTGTGCCAATTCTGGGGCTCCAGCTCAGGTCCTCATCACTGAACCACCTTCCTGGATGCTTATCTTCCCTTTTAATCTACTCATCTATAATCAGTTCTGGTCAGCCACAAGATCAAGGGAAGTCAACAGCATCAGGTGCACTGCCCAGTTTTTGCTGTCAACGAGACCTGAACTAGACACCACCAACGCCACGCTGTTCCCGAGGGCAAAGGCGTCACCCTATCCAAAGCCAGCTTTCTCTGGCTCCTCCACGGCTCTGCAGACGTTCTTGCTATAGTGTTTCTGCTTCTGCTGCTGAAGTTTAGGTCAAACAGTATGCTGGGGTTCTCTCTTTCTAAGCCATTCCCCAAGCAGAAAAAAAGCCAAAAAAGTTTAGCACAGAAGAAAATTCTGCCTGTTTTCCCAAGGGCCTTAAAGGCTGGTTCCACTTCATGGCTGGTGGTTAGAGGCCCCATCTGCCCCAGGGGGTTGGGGGGGGGCACCTCTTCCGGAGCAGGAGAAGGCCTTGGTCACTAACCTCTCTCTTTCGCTCCTCATCAGGCCTGCTGTGCCCTCCCTCTGCTCGGGAGCAGGCATGGCTGACCTCTCTCTCCTTGCCTCTCTCTTCATAGCTTACCTCCTTCCAAGAAGAAAATTTATACTTCATGTGTCAATAATTCATGTGACATCCTGGCGACAGGCGAAAGCTACCGAGAACTATTAGGGACCCCGGGGTCTGACAAGGATTAAGGTGGTGGGAGCTGAAAACTTTTGTTATTATTTTTAATTGTTAAGAAATAGATTATTTTTAAAATGTATACAGGCCAGATTTTTTCTTCTAGCAATCACCTTACTTTAGCTTTTAGAGTTGTCTTTTAACCCCAAAGCCTTGTTCCTGAAGAACCTAAACATTCTTAAAGTATCATAAGTGCGTTTTCAGTTTTGAAAAACATTGTATTTCAAATTGAAAGCATAAATAGCATGAAATATCGTGCACATAGCGAACGTGGCACACTTGGAGCTTGTATTATCAGTTTCCCAGTGAGAGAAGCTATTTCCACCAGCCTCCCTCCACGTGCCTTGATTTCCCTTCTCCACACTTGACCCAAATGTACCGCCCACGCTAGTGATAGGAAGCAAAACCGGCTGATGAAGTAACTCAGGTTACGTTACCTTGGGAGTAAGTATGAGAATGTGTCGGGCACTGGCATCTAGGGAAAGGAAAAAAGGAAAACATAAATAGAAACCGGAAACCAAAAGTGAAAGCCTTAAAGTACTCTTACACCGCATTCTAGTCCTGAGACTGAACAGGTCGCAGCTGGCAGAGTAGCGAACAAAAGCAACAGAAACAACAAACTCAAGATAACCCCGGAGACAAAAGCCAGCCCACCACCGTCTTGTCAGCCCAGACAATCCTGGTCGTGAGGGTATTTGTTCAAGCGATGTCCAGCAAGGCCTGCAGGCAGCAGCTCTGAGGAGCATGCGGCGGGCACACACCGATAGGGTCCTGGATTCATGAGGCTCCAGCCATGACAGGTCAGGGGCTTTGACTGAACCACGAGGCTCTTCCCACTCAGCTCTCAGCCCTGGGAACTTTCTACGTGATCCTCTCACATCTTCAAGGTATCCAGTTTATCTTCAAACTGGCTCTGCACTGGAGCTCCGGGAAGCTCTGAGACCACTGGCCTCCCTGGTCAGCTACTCACATCCCAGGCTGGTCCTGTCTCTATAGCACGCACACCTAGCACATCCTCCTTCTGAAGCCCTGCGTCCCGGCACTTTCCACATGTTCTTTCCTGGAGATTTCCCTTCCTTCCCTGCCACATCCGCTACTTCTTGGACCGTCCCTCCTCTGGCTTCAATTTCTCCTGTTCATTTGTTTCTCTTTATGGCTCAGAGAACCTTGCCTCAGCGGGGTGTCGGCAAATACTTGACTGCATAGCCTCCTCCCCACCGCGCCAAAATTCAAATCTGGAGTTCCCACCCAAGGAAGGAAAAGGTAAAGGAGGAAAAGGGTGGTCACTACTCCCAAGGCTCTCGGGATCGCAGAACTTCCCGGGGTCCAGACAAATTATAAAGCAAGGCTGCCACCTAGTGGCCACCTGCTTCCTGCAGGGGGCAGGAACGTGGCCAGGCTTAGAGAGCTTGCTCTTTCCGGCACTCAATCTTCTAAGGACAAGAGAAGTGAAGGGAAGAAAAGACACGAAATCAGCGCTGGGGGCATGGCTGCCTCCTAGCGCGATTCGTGTTGAGTTCTAAGACCAATGAACTCACATGTGACCCTTAGCTGAGGTTCCTGCTTGGTCCTCTCTTCCTTCTGAGGTTGCCCATGTGTTGATTTCCTCAGCTCCCTCCTCACTGTCCTATCAAGAGATTCGTGTCTGAACCCCCCAGGCTTGCTCATCCGTTGGTTCTCTCCCTGGCCTACATTTACAGGCTGTTTCCTTCCGTCCAGCACACCCCTTGGTCCCTGAAATCAAGTTACAGCTTCCAGCTGTGCCCCCTTACTTTGTTCTGGAGCCTTTCGCATAGGAGTGTGAGCTCTGGCAGTCTTAACCAGGCTCAGTTGCTTGTCCTCAATAGGCCAACGAGAGTCAAGAAAGTCAAAGGCAGAGAGAGATTTATTCAATGGGGCAGCACTGGAAAGGGGGCCCCAGTGATCCCCCAAGTTCATCATCCAGGATCCAGATGTAGGGTACAGGTTTAAATGGGGGCGGACAGACGGCTCATCAGTTAAGAGCATGTACGGTTCTTCCAGAGGACCCCGGTGGGCAGGCAGCACTTTCTTTGGGTTCCAAGATTCCCTGCTGTCACTTCTGTGACCTGGGCGGTCCCTTCTGCTCCTCCCTCTCTCCGCCACTCCTTACACGTTCCGTTCGCTCCTGGGCTGCCTTCAGCCATGTGGCCCTTCTTTCTCCCTTACGCTTCACAGTCGCGCGCACCAAGGCCCCCGACAGCTCCCCACGCGCCTCCCAGCCTTCCCACCGCCGGCTCCACTGTCATTTCTCATTGAGTGTTCACTAGTTTCCAAAGTGGCTTCGGGCTGCACCTCTGTAGCTCTGGACCCCAGCGTGGTCGGGGGTGGGGTGTTCCCAATGACCCCATTGCTTCAAAGCTGCTTCCGGGGCCAATCAAGTGCAGACCCAGCCCTGCCCGCTTGGCTCCTCATCGCTGGCTTTCTCCTCATCGCTGGCTTTCTCCTCATCTCTGGGCTTGCTCAGCTCTAGGTTTTAGCTCCTGAAAAATGAACCATCTCTCCTTTCTCCTCCCTCTCTCCCTCCCACATCAGGAACTTGGCCCTAGTTATTTCCCTGCTTGGAATCCACCTTCCTTTTCTTCCCATCTCTCTTCTTCTAGATAAGTGTGTTCTTCTCTCCTGTCCGTTCTGGGGTGGTCTTCTGAGGCCCCAGGGAGGAACCCTTTCTCTGTGGCCTGATGGGCCGCACTTCCAGAGGACTTGGCTTTGATTCCCAGCACCCACAGGTGGCTCACAATCCTCTGTAACATCAGGTCCAGGGAATCAAATGCCCTCTTTTATCCTCTCCAGGCACACAATAGATGCACAGACATACAACCAGGCAGGCAAGGCACCCATATACGTAAGATTACCTGCTTCAAAACTCACTCCCCACTTCCTTTTCCACTCCACTTCCCACTGGCATCAGAGTGTGCTGATGTAACTGCATCCCATGCGCTTGTTCCAAACACATTCTGGGTGACACTGGTTCTAAGGGATATGGTTGTTATTAAGTATGAATGTACAGGTTTACACAAAAGAATGTACTTATTCCTATTGCAGGACTCCTCAAAGCGCTTTACAGATCGACACAGATGTCAATACAGTAAGTAGCTCCCCACATTTATTTGGCCATGGAATTACTGTATCACGAGGCACCTTGGTAAGTGAGGCATGAGGCTTTAGTAGCTTTCTGTTATTCATAGAACATAACTTACCATTTTACCATAGGCCAGGGGGACAAGGATCGCAAAGCCAAAGTTCAACCTATGCTCTGCCATTGCTTAGCCATGGGCACTGAACACATTATTTTCATGTTTTTCTCATGCTGGAGCATAGTAATCAGTATGCTGGAGTTATCAGAAAGCTTATTTACTGCTACCAATAGTTCATGTGCAGTGTATGCTACCTAGTATGCGCCAGCTGTTTTCCTTTCGTGTCTTAGTCCTTACTGCCTCCTAGGAAGGCCGGCTCAGACTCCACCTTTGGGCCCTGGAACGACGACAACCGTCCGTCTCTGGTGTGGCTCTCCCCTCTGCCAGAATTCCTCCCCAGTCCCTCTCCTTTTCCGTCTCCACTCATCAGCTCAGACCTGTGTCTCCTAAGACTGTGGACTTTCACCTTTTCTTACTCCTGCGCTCAGCCTTTCTGGAGGGCATCAGGTCAGGGAGGGTAACTGCTTTTGGAGCTCATCTGCTGAGATAAGCTACAGGTGTCTATGCCCTTAACTGATCCCTAAGTAGCGTGTGCTTTCCAGCCTTCTGTTGTTGTATGCTCAGGGAAGAGCAGCCTCTGCACACAGATCCAGTACACACGCGTTGCTTTGATATGTTAATTGTCTCAGCCACGGGGCCAAGTGCCACTTGCATGCCACACTGCGTGGGACCAGGCCGGCTTCTCTGGGACTGTTTCTTTAACGCTAGCTGTCCACACTGCTCCAACCTGTCCTCCCATGGTTTCAGGCCCCGCACAGCCCACCGCGTACTGCGGTGCTGCTTTCCTGAATTCTGCAAGTATTCGGATTCTGACTGCCTGCCCGGAGGGGCGCACCCGGGGGTTGCCCAGCCCCGTGGCATCCTCGGTGCCGCCTGTACTCACGCTGTGCTTTGCAGGTGCCTCAGCAAGTGTGTGACCCGTGCGCGTGCAGCTGCAGCCATGGCAGGTCTCCTTGGCCTCCGCCTGCTCCACCCCCACGGCCGGCCAATCCTGGCGGCTGGACACCAAGAGGCAAACTTCTGTCTCTGACTGGCTCTGCAAGGTCACCTGACCCAGCTTTAGCCCATTTTCCAGGAATCAGAACCAGGACAACTGCCCCAGCTGCCAACTCAGAAATTGCCTCAAGACTCCACAGAGTTTGTGTACATTTTAAAACCAGAGCTGTGTCTCAAAACAAAAAGCCTACAACCGAACAATCAGAGCAAGTCTTTGAAAGTTAAGCTCTCGCTTTTGAGAAAGTTCTCAAGATGAATACTTAGAACTGCGAACCCTCAGGGCTCTGCAGCCAGTGGACGGGGTCTCTAAAGATGGCCAAGTCCAAGGAACTTACTTAGAACATTATCCAAAGCCAGTAACAACTGAGTATTATGAAATGATTTGAGCTTTCCTTGCATTTTCTAAAGTAACCTTATAAATATGAAACATAAAAAAGTACCTACAGCCCAACTCCCAGTTCCAAACCTGCTGTCAATTGACAGATAAAGAGAGCAGGGTGGTGGCCACTCGATTTACAGAAAACACCCCTCCCTCAATCCTGGATTTGCTATTAATAATTTTCAGGAGATATTTATGCAAAGATAAGTTTATTAAGATCAAAATAAGACAGTGATAATGGAAAACACCCAAGACAGCACTAACCATGAAATCTCCTGCTGGGTGTGCGCGCTCATTTATAATACCAGCACTTGGGGGACAGACACAAGGCCTCAACTTCCAGGTCAGCCCAGGCTAAAAACTAAAACCCAAGTCAGCTAAACAAAAACCACCGGTTATAAACAAAATGACAAGTATTTCCTGGAGTGACAAGGTTAATTATCATTATATACTATGGTTCCAAATTACCAAGTAAAGCAACGTGTTCATTTGGCCAAACGCATCACCTTCACAAACAGCAGAGTACTATGGTTTTAATATTATAGTTCGCACCAAAAGAACTTCGGAGTTTTCCGAATACAAGTGGCCTTCCTGTAACCACTGTAACTACTTTGTGTTTTTTCCAGCACACCCTATATTGGCACCCAGGTCATGGGCTTCACGTACAACTTCTACCGACAATAAAAGTTAAAAGGGACGCCAGGTACCGACATATTTTTATTAAGTAACCCTTACAACACTTGTAAACCGCAGGTAGACTTGGTTTTTCCCATTCTCCCTGCTTTGATAAATACACAAGCTCTGTTACAAAAATAATGCAAAAATGTTGACACCAATCTACTGTGCCCCAGAAATCTGATCAACTCTCACCGAGTATCCGAAGTCAAGATAAAAAAAGCAGGCGGTTAACTTACTCCCGATTCTGACCACATTATTTCTCAAAATATGCCCTTAATTTCCAGGCAGTGTCTCTGTTGTGGGGAAAAGATTATTCGCAGTCCAGCACTGACTCTCCTTTAATCTCGAGCTCAGTGGGGGCAGCGGCCACCCCCTGCGCCAGCCTGCGGTGCGCTCAACTTGACCCTTAGTTCAGACAGTCCTCGCTTTGCAGAACAGGTCTGCAAAGGAACCACTACTTCCTCCTCTTCCCACCTTGGTGCGGCACCCCTTTCTTCTTGCCGCCGAAAGTGGGAGGCCGGGAATGCTTCTTGCCCCCCAGGCCGCCTTTCCTCTTCTCTCCCTGGCCCGGCGGACCACCTTTCCTCTTGTTCGAAGGTCCCTGCCGGCCCCCCTTTCTCTTGCCCTTCTGGCCCATTTTCCTCCTCTTGGCGGCCTCTTCTTGGTCCTCCTCCCTCATCTGCTTGTTGGTGGCCCTCGCCACGTCCAGCTGAGGCTTCTTGCTGTTCATGACTCGAAGCAGCTCCAACTGGTGCTTCTTCTCGGCTGCAAAGTCCCCAAAGAGGGGCTGAAACTTCCTCTTCTTGCCGGTGCCCCGGGGCGCCTTCTCCTTGGGGAGGCGCTCCTGGAAGCGCCCCACCGAAGCGGTGGAGACCTTGGCCACCTGCATGGCGCGACCCAGCTCCTCCTTACTCTGGTGTCCCGTGGGGTGCAGGCCGGCCGCGCTGGGCACCTGCGCCTTGTGCGCTCGGGCCAGGTTGCGCAGCCGGTTCAGCTCGTTCTTGGCCACGCGCTCCTTCTTGGCCTGAATGCGCTTGGCGAACTGGTCTTCCATGGGGTCGGCGCCCCCGGGCACCTCGATCAGCCACTCCTTGGTGTCGTCCCGGGCTCGCCGGTAGCCCCAGCGGCGCCGCCACTGGCCGCTCACCTCGTCCCACACGAGGTTGGTCTTCTTCTTGGGGCGGATGCCCTTGAGGCGGGCGAACTGCTGCCAGCGGGTGGGCGGCCGCGGCCGGGGCAGCGGCTTCTCGCGGGGCAGGCGGGTGGCGGGCTCCGGCAGGCGCGCCACCACCGCCTCCTGCACGCGCTCGGTCGGCAGCTGCCAGAGCCGGTTGATGAGCAGCTGCGTGTTGTCCCGCGCCAGCGCCCGCAGCTCGGCCTCGGGCGAGGGCCCGGCCTGGCGCAGCAGCGTCGGGGGGTTGCGGTCCGAAGCCAGCAGGTGGCCCAGGTCGAACTCCAGCTCCAGCTCCTTGTGCACCGTGATGCGCCGCAGCTTCTCCGCCTCCTCCTGCTCCGCCTTGGCCAGCAGCTCCTCCACGCTCGGGCCTTCCATGGCTCCCCAACTCCGGGCAGCAGCTCCACCACCACCGCGGCAGCGCCGAAGTAGCCGGCAGCCACGTGCGGACGTCCGGACTCGTCACCCGGAAGATCGGTGTTCACTTCCGGGCTACCCGGAACCGGCTCCCCGTTGGGTCGCTGGGGAAAGGCCGGCAGGGGGCGGCATTGGAGAGCTGATGGGTTTGGAGGCGGGACCTGGGCTCGTGACCGGATGTGGACAGGCGCTGGGCCCGGCCGGGACTACGTTTCCCAGCGTGCTGCGGGGCAGGGGGCGGTCGCTGTAGGACGCGGGCTGCTCAAACTCCTGGGGTTGCAGGAATCGCAGCTTCCGGGTGGAGCGTGCCTAGCGCTGTCTGCGGACGGAAGCATTGCTAAAGCGTTTGACTGATCATCTCGTCCTGGGGCGGGGCAGTTGTTCTCCCGTGTTCAGGGTGTGAGCGGAGCAGATCCCACGAATGTACTTAGAGGCAGGTACAGAAGAGTGTTTTGATTTAGCAGGCTGGCAGGTAGGTCGGGCTGAGCGGTGCGAGCGTCCACGGACCCCAGGTTGCTGAGGACTCGCACTCGTCTCTGGGCAGAACGCTGAACTTTGCAGGTTTCATGGCCTGGGCTCCGATTCTGGCTGTGCTACTTTGGATCCTAGGATATTTATTTAGGCCTGAAAGATCATGGAAGATGGAGTCTCTGATAGTACTTCGTATCCAGGACTGTTTTAAAGCCAAATGGGTTGAGAAGCTTCAAAGAAGGCTTACGAGTCAGTGAAAACCAAATGGCAGTTTTTATTCAATAGGAAGTTGAGGCGGTGTTATAGCCTGTCTCAGTTTACTGCCATTGACTTTGATAGGTTGTTCATACGCTGGTAAATGTGATTCCTTAATTAGTAACAGGCACACAGGAAGGGTTCAGATGAGATCTGCTGTCGTTTCCACTAAATCTGGCCAAAGCAAACTTTTGCATATAACAGAATCATGGTTATTCTTGGTCCTGTATGCTTATCATCTGGCTTCAAGTCACTCTGAAAAATTCTGTCAGAACAGTCCTTTTCAGACTTGCTTCTAACCCCACTCTTTCCATTTCAGCTCTCTCCAGAGCTTCAGGAATTTTCCTCAAGAAAGCCAAAACGAGATGCAGGGCAGAAAGAGCAGCTCTTAAGAGTTTCGTGACAGTTTTGTGAAATTTCTCATGCACAGATGTGAAGAGAGGTTTCTGGTTTTTGTTCCAACCTCACCCCAAAGAGGGACAAGAGGGCTAAAGACCTAAAATGAATACCCTCCGCTGGCTCTCAATTGGCCACTACAACTAGCTCTTAAGGCAGTTCATCAGTCTTTACTCTTCCATTAACTTAGATTTACTTCCTTTTTAAAGTGTTAAACTAGGTAATTTACTTGTGTAGATGGGCATATGTGTGCTATTGCACATATGTGGAGGTCAGAGGACAATTTGCCTTGGGTGCTGGGAATTGAACTCGGGTTGTCAGGTTTGGCAGCAAGTGCCTTTACCCAGTGAGCCATCTTATTAGCCCTTGCTTTTTCTTTTCCTTTCCTTTCTTTTTTTTTTAGTCTTTCGAGACAGGGTTTCTCTGTGTGGCTTTCACCTTTCCTGGATCTGGCTCTGTAGCCCAGGCTGGCCTTGAACTCACAGATATCTGCCTGCCTCTGCCTCCCAAGTGCTGGGATTAAAGGCGTGTGCCACCACTGCCTGGCTTAGCCCTTGCTTTTTCAGTGCTGATCAGTTTTCTCTCTTTTTGATGGGGGGAATTATTAAGGAAGATCCAGCCAGTTTTCAATTCTGCAGTGAACATTTTTTTTCCCTCTCTGAATATTTTTGTCCAAGAAATAAAGTATACCAGTTAATTTAATAAAATATTAGCTAAGGTATGGTGATATTTTATTTGTACTAAAATGTAATTTTAATTTTATGTTAATAAAGTTGCCCTGGGGTCAGAGCTATTAGAGCCATAGCAAGAGCGTGGTGGTTAGAAGAGCTAGGTAGATTTCTGTGTGTTCAGGGATACAGCCAGTATTGGAGACATACGCCTTTAAGACCTGGAGGGCG